AAAGATGGATTCTGTGTGTATTTGGAGAGCATCTTTCCCTAAAAAAAGGCACAAAAAGGGGGATGCTTTGGCATTTGGAAGGCGCCGGGCGGCACGTGGGGAGGATCCTGTGTTCCAGGAGCGCCGCGGCCGCCGGATCCGAGCCCGGACGCCCGACGCGCTCGCGCCATTGGATCCAGTTTCAGGTTATTTCAAGAGCGCCGCGGCCCCTGTCCGGTTGTGACTCTATCCCAAGAGTTTTTCCCTCTGTTTTGGAAGGCGGATCTGTAGTCGCAGCGGGAGATGCTCCTTCCCTGCCAGGTGAGGCCGACTAAACTGCCATTCCCCCCGGAAAAGCCAGAAACGGACCAAAGGCTCCAGATTTAGGCTCAACGGGAGCACGAAGAGCATGAAACGGTGCCGCGATTGATTCGGATAACTCAGTGCTCTGTCTTCCCAGGTGGACTCCCCATCCCTCGGAGGGCGATGGGGGGATCTAGATCCACCCGGAGACGCGGCAGGAGTGGGAAGCAGCTGCTTCCCTGCCCGCTTCCCTGCTCCCAAGGTGCCCTGCGGAGTGCTGGCCTTGGGGGGCTGTTCCCGAGCCCGCATTCCCACACGGCTCGTCCTCTTCGGCAGCCCGACCCGGCGCGAGGGAGCCCTTCCCATTTGGTTTTGCTCGGCTCTGGTTTCCTCCGCCGCCTCCGTGTGTTTTCCAGGGGGTTTTTAAACCCTATCCAAGGTGCTCTTCATTGTCCAGCGCTGGGAATGCTGCTCAAATAATCCCAAAGGCTTCGCTTCCCACGAAGCCGCTTCTATCCCGTGGAGCGGATGAGGGTGCCAAGCACCAAGGCCCCCAAACAAAGGGAATCCCTTCGCTTTATAGGGAGAAGCAGCTTCCTTATCTTATCCTGGAGAAACTCCTTTGGAAATGCCTGAATCCCTTTGCTTTATAGGGAGAAGCAGCTTCCTTATCTTATCCTAGAGAAACGCCTTTGGAAATGCCTGAATCCCTTCGCTTTATAGGGAGAAGCAGCTTCCTTATCTTATCCTAGAGAAACTCCTTTGGAAACGCCCTTCAGCCTGGGCTGGCCCTGGTGTGTCCATGGGTAAGGAGCAGATGCCCTGCAGCTCAACTTGAATTCATCCAATGCAAAACTTGCTTAAATTTTATTTTTTTAAAACTTTTCCTGAGTTTATGGTGGCGTTCAGGCGCAAGCCACAGAAAAGTGAGCGTTTTTATTAGATTTATTGATGGAGAAGGCAGATTTGCCCCAGGTCCGGCCTCCCTGTCCTTGTTCACAGGGATAACGTCGTGGTGCTGCTGGGATCCACTTGGCAGCTCCGGAACCATACGGAGGAAAGGGGTGTTTGGTGCAGGTGGACAAGGAGGCCTCATTTAGCACAATTTCACCCCAAAAAAGACGCTAAGGGGGCAGGGGCTTGTGCTCCGCAAGTGCAGCCGGCTGTTCCCGTTCGGAGCATTGGGTCCCGATGTCCAGGATGGAGGGAGGAAGGACCAGGCTCTTCTGGACGGTGGCCAGTGGCAGGACAAGGGGCCCTGGGGCCAAGCTGCAGCGCAGGCAGCTCCACGTGGCCATGAGGAAGAACTTTTTTGGGATGAGCTTCATTTCCCTTGGGTGCTGGCCACTTCTCCCCCTTGGAAGGGGCTCGGAGCCTCCGGCTGCCTCGGGGGCTTCCACGCTTCTGGAATTGCGTTGTCTTCAGAGCTCGCTGTTTACCAGGATTACACTCACCGCGAGGACGGGAAGCTAAAACTTAAATATTATTTTATACGTGCAAATTGATATACATGCATATTTATGTATATTGAGTCTCCTAACTCTTTGGAGTTGCACAAAGTGAATTCTAGAAGACTTATAGAATCCTTAAGGTTGGAAGGGACCTCCGGAGATATCTAGCCCATCCCCTGCACTTGACTTGAGTTCCTTTAATGCAGAAGGTGCCTGTATTGGACACAGACAGTGTGTGCTTCAAGTGTTCCCTTTTCGGAACCCAGTTTCTTAATTGCATCCTCGTTAGCTCCTGTTTGCGCTAACGAGCTGCGCTCCGGGTCTGCACAACGTGATTTGTGAAGCGCCTCCGAAAACACAGCGGTTATACGTGGCTCGCAGCCAGGTAGGGCCCCTGTAAATGGCTAATGCCATCGATTTCCCTTGATCCATCCCCGGAATTAACTTCATGATAATATTGAGTGGAAACCGAGCCCCTAATTAGGATAAAAAAGCCCAACTTTTACCAATTTGGGGTTAAATTTGGGGGAACTGGTGTGTTTCTGGTGACCACGTAGGTTTGCTTGGGTGCTTAGGGAACACCTGGGGCCTCTGCGGCTGCCTTGAGCTGTTTTGGCGAGATGGGTCTAGTTGGGTGCTGTGAATTTTCTCAGTTTTCTCGCTTTTTCTGTGTTTTGGTTCTGCACCTGAGAAGCACCCTGAGTCCTTGCGCCTTCACAGCCCCATTTTTTGAGGTATTAAATGAACAGAGAGCAGCTCTCTGGGCATCCAGGGACTCTTTTTTGTCACAAGGGTGACACAAGGGACCGGCTTTAACTCTTGTGCCCCACTGGGATTCCATCATCTCTCGGTCACCGGGATCCCATCGGCTCCGCGCTGGGATCTGAGGCGCTTCCACAAACCCCCGGGCCTGGAAGAGGAGCCGATGGGAGTCCCCGGGGAGCAGCGTCGGCGCCTTCCCTCGCTCGGTGACATTGGGGACAGGCGGTGACAGTGCCAGTGCAGCGACGCGATCCCGCCAGCTCCGTGTGGGATCCCGAGGCTTCTCCGCCGGCTGCATTTCCTCGAGAACTCGCTTTACATCATTGCAGGTGCCCTCGAGAGGCTCCAAATAGATCCCGCCTCGTCCCCGCTCCCGCTTTTCCTTCCAGGTCTGTGGGGAGGAGAGCACGGGCGTCCGTGGGGCTCTAGGGAGCGCACCGTTTTGTACCTTAGTAAGGGAAAATACATTAAAGCACATCAGATTCTTCAAGTTCAGGCGTGCTGCTCTGGCTCTCCTGGGGTTGGACTAGATGATCTCCAAAGGTCCCTTCCAACTTTAAGGATTCTGTGCTTCTTTTGCCGCAAATTGTGATTTTTGCAGGAGGCTCCTGCCCATCGGGACGCTGCTGATGATTCCTTCTGTCCTCCAGGAGGGCGAAACCCGCTGCCCTGGCTCTGCTTTCCTCATGAAAGTGCCTGAAATGCATCAAACAAACAGTGAAACGATGAGAAACGCATCTGAATTGCCAGCGAGTGTTTTCAATTACAGTTTTCCAGGGTTCTAACACCCCGAGCTGTCCCCAAATGAATGCCTTCTCATCTGCCCATTCGTTCAAGCTGGAAGAAATGCAGCTTTTTGGCGGGCAGGGTTTCTGCTTTGTGCACGGAGGTCCCTGGGCTCGCCCTGTTTACATCTGGGGCTCGTGGTGTTGCGGTCATGCAAACGCCCAACTCATATTTCATACCAGAGTTAAATGTCAGGCTTTGAATGCTCCGCATTTTAGCGCTCGCTTTTGGTTTTTATCCGTCCCTGGAAGCTGGCTGCATCCAGACAAGGATCTTTGGAATTCAATGATAGGAGTTTGAGCTCTCTTTTTTTTTTTTTCATTTTTTAACCTCAAAAGTGATTTTTTTTGGCTATCTATCCAGCTTTATACTCCAAAGAAAATCCAAAGTTGTTTGCAGTTCCTAGGAAAGTGGAATGTTGATCCCGTCGCTCTTGGGACAAGTGGACACGACCACTTATTTGCTCATAAGGGCTCAAAGGGGCTGAGCTCCCTGCAAGTCTTGGCTCAGTTTTGATCCTTGCTGCAAAACCACCTCTTTTAATGTAAAAATCCTTTCTTAAGGCAATGGCAGAGTCATTCCTAGTGGGTCCATAATGGATTAATGCTGGGCCCTGAGCACAGCGGTCTACAGGCAGGTGCCTTTTCCAGCAGGAGCTGGTTTTGTCGAGGAATCATTGTGGTTGGAAAAACCCTTTGGGATCATTGAGTGCAACCGTGAGCCCCTCAACACCGTCCTGCTCAACCGTGTCCATGCTGGGGACTCCAGCACTTCCTTGGGCAGCCTCTCCCAAAGCTTTACTGCTCTTTCTGTGGAGAAACTTCTCCTAATATCCAACCTGCAGCTCCCCCAGTGCAACTTGAGGCCATTTCTTCTATTTTTGGTAGCACTTTCAGTGTCCTTTAAAGGGTTTTTTGGCTGTCCCTGCTCCAGCCTGCTACCCCAGGGTCTGCAGTGCGACTTAAAGCACAAGGGGCCTCCAGGTTGGTTGAAGTTCTGCTGTTTTAGCCATGATAACCTGAAGAGCTGTAATCCCAGCTGTGCTGTAAATCCCGGGATGGTTGAGGTTGGAAGGGACCTCTGGAGATCATTTAGTCCAGCCCCCTGCTCATGCATGGGGGTCAGATCCATGTCCAGGCAGATTCCGAACATCTCCAAGGATGGAGCCTCCGCAGCCTCCCTGGGCAGCCTGGGCCAGGGCTCGGGCACCCTCCCACCAAACAAGCTCTTCCTCACGGCCACATGGAGCTGCCTGTCGCTCTACGCTGGCCCCTCTGGAAGCTCCACGTCCCTCTTGTCCTTGGGGAGCCCAGAGCTGCCCCCAACGTCCTTATTGTGCTCGGGGGAGACCTTTGTGCCGCCGTCTCTTCCTGTTTGTCCCTTGTGGAGCTCCCTCTGTTCCCTTGGGCTAACAGGAGCAGCAATTACCGGCCAGCCTGAAAAGCCCCTTTTGTTGCGTTTAACCCCAGGATGGGAATCGGAGCTGCTCCCGGCCCTGGTGTCCCCAGGGAATTCGGGTAGCAGAGGCTCCGCTCTCATCAACCCTGGGCACGGAGCAGCGTCTTCCCTAGGGAAGTGGTGGGAACACGGATGTTCTCGTGTGCGTTTTCCCTCTGCCGACACGTGCATTGGAAGGGCGGAAAACCCACCTCGAGGCGCCGGTGCCTGCTGGATGTGTGCCCCCTTTCCCTCCGCGCTGATGCCTCGGCCTCCCTCCAGGTGCACGCGTGGGAGATCTCGGACCAGCTGCTGCAGATCCGCCAGGATGTGGAATCGTGCTACTTCGCGGCGCAGACCATGAAGATGAAGATTCAGACGTCGTTCTACGAACTCCCCACGGACTCGCACGCCTCGCTGCGCGACTCCCTGCTCTCCCACATCCAGAACTTGAAGGACCTCTCGCCCGTCATCGTCACCCAGGTAGGCTCCGGGGAAGTGCGGAAAAGCCTCATCGTAAAAAAGCCAGGAAAAAGGGAAAAGCTGCTCCGGGTTGGCTGTGTGGAGCCGCGGAGCCCCGCGGGATGGGTGCTGCGGGTCGCTCTCCAGCTCTGCCCCTTGGTCTCCATCGTGGCCTCTTGGCTCCTGCTCCTCGAGTCCTGCAGCTCTTCAGCCCCTTGTTTGGAGGGGCAGGAGGAGCAGCAGTTCCTGGCGTTTCCCAGGCACTCTGAGCACAACCACAGTTGCAGGATTGAGTCTGGATGATTTTTTTTTCCTCCCAGTTCCCCCCCAGACCCACAGCCAAACTCATAACATTTGTGAACAGGTAAGATGCCACAGGGAGACCATCTGCAATATCCCCTCTGGCAGCCAACCTGGAACATCGTCCCCATAGCTGGGAAAACCCAGGGCACCGGCGTGTGGTGGCAGGGTGGGACACAAGGACTAGCTCAGATTTAGTGCCCAACAACGCTGTGGTGGCCCGAGCACAGGTTTGGCCGAGGGTAGCAGCCTTCCCCCCGCACTATTGGGTGCAACGTAGGAGTCCTGGCTTCAGCAGTGGGATCCTCAGCACCCTGAGCTCTGTTTTTCTCCTCTTCTCTCCCCCTTTCAGCTGGCTCTAGCAATAGCAGACCTTGCCCTGCAAATGGCCTCTTGGAAAGGCTGCGTACAGACACTGGTTGAAAAGTAAGTAACTGCCTATGTCGGAGAGCTCCGAGCTGTTCACGGAGCACGCGGGGTGAATGATGAGTGACAGGATGAATGACACTTGATGATCCCCTCCTGTTTTTAGGCTCACTGCCTTGTGCCTCCGTGCTGTGGAGGTGGCATGGCCTCGTTCAAAGGGGAAGGATTTGAACAGCGGGATTTGATTTGCTTGTAGGACAGGAGAACTTTGCCTGTTTTTCTTAAGCTAGTTATTAAAAATCTTGAGCTTCACCACTAAGTCAGACACATCAGTGCTCTGCCTGTACGGCTGCACACCCAAACATGTCTGGAATAACTCCTCCACCTCTGTGTGGTTTATTTAGCTGTATTTGTGTGTGCTCAGCTGTCCCCTGCAGCCTTGCACGGCCCTGCCTGTGTTCCAGGTACAGCAACGATGTCACCTCGCTGCCCTTCCTGCTGGAGATCCTCACGGTGCTGCCCGAGGAGGTGCACAGCCGATCCCTGCGCATCGGAGCCAACCGCCGCACGGAAATCATAGAGGATCTGGCCTATTACTCCAGCACAGTCATCTCCCTACTGGTAAGAGATGTGACCTCCACGGTGACCGAGCACTCTTAAACCACGGGACAAATTCACGCAGTCGTTTGCTCCCGCTCCGTATCCTCAGTGCAGGTTATTCCAGGTCTGGCACCGTCACAAAGCTCTCTGGCAGCTGGCAGGAAGCCTGGATGGAACAAGCTGGTTTTATAGTCCCCTTCCAAACAGATTAATCACAATCACAGTCAGGTTTCTATTGTTGGTGCTGCGCTGAAAATGGAGCTGGTTAAGGGAACTTGATGACTTTCTCATCCTCTCCACTGATGCCTCCGGGTGAGGATTGTGTCGCCGATGCCCAGCGTCAGCCTGGACGGTTAAATTCAGGAAAACGCTCTTTTGTCAGCCCAATAATTGGCCAGTGCTGAATTTCTGCACAGACTGTGGCACTTCTGGGGTATCTGATGGCAGAGCAAGGGGGTATTTCAGCCCGTTATGTTCCACATATGACCCTGTGAGTGCAGCGGGGCTCGGAGGCTTGGGTTTCTCTTGCTGCTCTTGCTCTCTCCTCAGGCAGCAGCACGTGTGTGACAAGCTGAGGTCTGTATTCAGCATTTGGCATTGGCCAAACGGCGTTGCTGTGACTGCTCAAATGGGGAGAAAGTAGCCAAATTCCCCGGGCTTTTTCATAGAGGTGTTTCCTCTTCGAGGGAAAGCTCCCCAGGAGCCAGATTAGTTTGGGCCCCAGAACAGGACAAATGTGGGGAGAAGGAAATAAGCCTTGAGGTTTAAATGACCTGTATTTTATGGGTGAATCTGATTCCTGGGGTTCTTCCCTGGCTCTCAATGTGCAGTGACTTTGTGCTGGGCTCTGGTAGGACCCCGAAATGCTCGGCCCAGGGGGTGTTGGCAGCACTGCGGTGCCAGGGAGCCCACGTCCACCTCTGCCATAGGCTCCGAGCGAGCCTGGGCTTCTCAGCTTCCTCTTAGGCTGTCGGAAAACTCCCTGCTGGGGCCATACTCCGAAGGGACCAAGCTCCAAAGGGGCCGAGCTCCAAAGGGACCAAGCTCCAAAAGGTCCAAGCTCGGAAGAGCCCGAGCTCGGAAGGGACTGAGCTCCAAAGGGACCGAGCTCAGAAGAGGCCAAACTTGGAAGGGACTGTGCTCAGAAGGGACCACATTCCAAAGGGACCAAGGGACCGAACTCCCAAAGGACTGAGCTCGGAAGGGGCTCAGCTCCAAAGGGACCATGCTCCGAAAGGGCTGAGATCCAAAGGGACCGTACTCCAAAGAGGCCGAGCTCCAAAGGGACCACGTTCCGAAGGGATCGTGCTCCAAAAGGGACCAAGTCCAGGGCCAGCCTGGTGCCTGCTAATGCCCCTCATGTGGTTACAGCTGCTGGGAGCAGAACGGGCCATCGGTTCCCTGCCCGCTTTCCCTATCCTGGTCCCGATCCCGGTATCCTCTGCATCCGCCAGGCTCTGCTCCCGCTTCCTCCACACCTGCCCGGAGCCTCCATAGCCAGTTCCAGCATTTGAAACCAGCTGCCTGAAGAGCACCACTGAATTGCCCGCATAGGATTCAAATGTTAGATCCACTTTGTTGGCTTGCAAAAAGGTTTAATTAAAAAAAACAGTATAGAAACTGTGATAAAGTTCAAGATCAACCTCCATATATAAAATATATAAAGCGTATAAATCTAGGGAGATGCAAATTTGAGATCAGCTTTTCGAAAGAGGATATTTTGAGAGTCTTGTTACTGACTTGGGAGGGTTTTTTTCCCTTGTAAAATTACGTGGTGGCTCCTAAGCCCTTTTCCCTTGTCCTGCCGCAGATGACGTGCGTGGAGAAAGCGGGCAACGATGAGAAGATGCTCATCAAAATCTTCCGGTGCTTGGGGAGCTGGTTCAACCTCGGCGTCCTGGATAGCACCTTCATGGCCAACAGCAAGTTACTGTCCCTGCTCTTCGAGGTGCTGGTGAGTATTCCTGCAGTGGGATGGGGCTGCTTTGAAAGGCAGCAGTTTGACTCTTCTGGGCACGTTTGGTCACCCGTGATGGAGCAAACGCTGCTTTTTCACACCTCGAGGTGAGTTTCTCCCCATCTTTCCATCTCCATTAGGAGCCGACCAGTCTCTATCCTGACCAGAGCTGACTAGCAGGTGGGGAAGAGCAGGCTGCCCTTGTCCTAGATCCACATGGATCTGGGAGATTCCCTCCCTTTTTTTTATTGTCTTTTTAGACCTTGTGGGTTTTTTATCTAGTAAGAGAAACTGCATAGCAAAGGTTTTCCTAGCTGGAAATAGAGAAAATCACTTCTGCCTGTGCCGTGAGATTGAAATATTCCAGGAGAGGGGCGGATTTACTGGAGTCCTTGGCCCGTGACCTGGGCTTGGAGGACGAGATAGATGGATGGAAAGTATTGGCAGAGCCTTTGGGTGTAAAGGGAAAAAGCACACGGGCCTTTTGGGCTGTTTGTGTGCAGGAAAGAGAACCAGCAGCTCGCGCAGAATTATTCTTTCCTGGCCGTCTTCTATTGGGACACAGAGCAGGTGTGGTGGGACCCGTCCCCTTTGCTCCTGGAGGGGCATTTGAGGCTCCTGAGGTGCAATTCCCTGCTTTTCCCGGAGCAATTCCCAACCCCCTGGCCTAGCTCTTCCTGCAGAGCACATTCCTGCTGAGTGGGGTCCATGCTGTGCCCGGGAATCGCGTGGATTGGGTCGCAGGAGCCCTTTGCTTTCACCTCTGCAACCCCGCTCCCACCTTTATGAGCGCACAGATCACCAAGTAAACAGGATCATAGATTTAGGCTTTTATTATACCCATTCTCCTTATTTTAGGAATCACGAGTTGGGGAGCCTGCGTTAAGCAGGCGCTTTGCCAGGCTCCCGTGAGCCAGGCTGCAAAACCTCCGGCTCTGCTCAGAGCGTTTCACATTGGGGGAATAAGGAGCATTTCCAGGCACTGCAGCCAGCGTAGGGGGCCAGGTTTGCGCTGAGCTTAGGGTTTTGTGGCCTCGAGACAGAGCTTTGCTCTCGAGCCTTTCTGCAAATCAAACCACCTTGGAGAAACCTGAGCCCAAAAATACCTGCAAAATCCTTGTTGTGCATTGCTTGGAGTAAGTTTGGTGTCGTCCTGGGACTGACAGCTTAGTGGTGACCTCAGCTGCCGAATTTACCTCTGGTCCTCATGGAAGGAGCTGAATTTGTGTAATATTCCTACCAGTTTTGACCCCCTTTTCACTGAAATGGTGCATTCCCTTCTTTTGGCAGCAGGGAAACAAATTCCTCTGTGACTTTTTACTGTGTCTGAATGTGGAGGAGCCCAGGGAAATGAGGAGGCTGGGAATACCGCATGTTGCAGCGGCAGGGAGAGCGAAGAGCCAGCGGGAAGCAGGAATTCCCAAAGCAGGAATTGTGCTGCTCCCGGCCCTGGGTTATCCGAGTCTTCCCGCGCCGCTAACAGGACCCCTCTCTTGCATCTCCCCGTGGTCTGGGTTAGATAAGTGACAAATGTGACACTGGGAGGCGGTGCAAGGCACCGACCCGCCTTGGTTGGTGCCACCCAGCTTTCTTCTTGCCTTTCTTCTTGCATTGTCCCCACCAGCCTTTCTTCTTGCATTGTCCTTACTCCAACTTCCAGGTGCTTTTTTCTTTTATCCTCCTCTGCTTCCTACCCTCGTGCGTATTCCTGAGGCTTAGGGAATTGCTTTGAGGTCTCTCGTGCAAACAAGCACATAGGCAGGTGCAAAATTCCCCTTCCTTTGTTTCCTCCCTCCTCTTCATTGGTGATTCTCCTCCTCCTCCTCACTATGCCAGTCTTGTCTCCCCCTTAATTCCCCGGGGATCCGTGGGATCCGTTAAAGCTCCGGTTAAATCAGCCTTGCACAATTGCTATAAAAGTCCCCCCACGGGGACCTGGAATCCACTTGTTCACCCCCGAGCGATGAATATTTCATGCGTGTGTGAAACCTGCTCGCTCAGGGAGGAAAAGAGCAAGAGATTTGGGGCAAATTCCCGCAGGTTTCGCCTGCCCCGTGTGTCCCGTTGCAGAGCTCTGCCTCCCGTTTCTTGCAGCAACAAGACAAGACCTCGTCCAACCTGCACGAGGCGGCCTCGGACTGCGTGTGCTCGGCGCTCTACGCCATCGAGAACGTGGAGACCAACCTGCCCCTGGCCCTGCAGCTTTTCCAGGGCGTCCTCACCCTCGAGACCGCCTACCACATGGCCGTGGCCCGCGAGGACTTGGACAAGTAAGTGGAACTTGTCGCCGTGGCCGGGAAGCGAGGGTGGCAAGGAATTACCTGCCCTCCTGCTCGCCCGCGAGTGTTTTGGGAGATTCACCACAGATTCCACCACAGATTGCCAAAACACCACCGTTCGCCTGTGAAATTTGGGATTTGCTCAACAAAAATACACGAGCAAATGGTTTCCTTGGTCCTGGGTGCCACAGCCTCTGCTCTGGGCACAGGGATGAGCTGCGGCTTTGCCGGAGAGCTGTGGCTCTTGCCATGCCAGGCTGGCTGTGCTTGGTGTGCCCTGCTGTGGGCAAAGGCAAGGAAAGAGCCCTGAGGTGCAGCCGGTGCCCTGCCAGCCCTGCAGATGACAAGGGACCTGCTGCCAGCGGTGACAAGGGACCTGCTGCCTCTGCAGCCTTCTGTCCACGCCGAGAGGTCCTGGAGGCGCCTGTGGTGTCACCAGCCCCTCGTTCCTCACTTGTAAGAAGTTGCCTTCCTCACAACGTGGTCAAGATACTGCTGTAAAAAAGCGATTGCTCCACATGTGCCGGCTGTTACGAAACACTGCTCTTGTGGGAAACCTGCTGATCTTCAGCCTCAGCTGCTTCTAGGCCAGTTTAGCTCTATCCTGTTTTGCCAACATGGTCTTAACTTAACTCCTCAGCTGGTGCCCGTTCCATCCTGTATTTACAGGTGGGAAGCAGTCAGCCCTTGGTTTGCTGAGCTGAACGAGTCCTGTTCTGCCTGTCCCTAAGGACAACCTGCTTTCCATGGTGCTCCCCATAGCTGCTCGCCGTCCTGCTCCCGTTTTGAGGTGATCCCTTGCCAGCCCCGAGCTGGGTGCTGCTGCAGGAGGGATCCCGCTGTGCAGGGGACACCTTGATGGCCTCTCATCTCTTATACCCTTGTGGCTTTAGTGCCTTGGACCTGCCCTGATTTTATCCATCCACGAGGTGCCGGAGGCTTCTGAAGCTGCAGCTTTCAGCAGAAATGCTGATTTTTATGAATTGTTCTCTGTGCTGTAGAATCCATCCTGTTTTCCTATTCAGACTCATTCTTCTGCACTGATAATTCCAGGGGAATTCCCCTGGAATTATCAGTGAAGATCATTCACATCCTCTGCTCCTTTCCGTGCTGCATGGGCAAGGGAGGAGCTCGCTTGCTGGAACTTCCCTCCTTCCAAACTGGTTTTTCCCCTTGCAGCCCTTCGTGCTGCGTACAACCTGCTTCCCACACAGCTGGGCATTACCCAGCAGCGGTGATTTCCACATGAGCCCCACGAGCAAATCTTCGCGAGCCCTCCTTTCTTCCAGTTCCCCTCTTCTGCAGCGTTGCGGGTGAGAATTAGGTGGGCCCAGCCTCATTTTGGCGTTTGGTTGCATTTAACCCATTTCCCTTGTCTGCGTGTTCCGAAAACGTCATAAAAACATGTGATTGAGGTCGGGCAAGGAGCGTCCCTCGCCGCTCTCAAACACGAGTGCAGCACTTGTGGTTTTGTGGCTGGGCTTGGTGCTGTCGCTGAGGGGAACTGCAAGGCAAAGGAGGACAGAACTCCCCAATATTCACCTTTTCTTCAGGGTTTTGCTCGGAGATTTGCAGTGCTCACTTCTGCCGCTCCAGAAATAAGCAGACCATCATTCTTCTCCATCCAAGAAGCCTCATGCTCTTGCCGTCGACCTTAACTTGTTAGTTACCCCTTTTGAAGCTGCAGATCATAGTAGTGTCTGTTCCTGCTTATCCTTCCATAGAAAACCCGTTAAAAACTCCAGAGAGTTTATTGAAAACTTGAGAAAACTCAACTCGCTGTGAGGCAAGTGCAAGTTTATGTTAAAGCAGCATCTCTGGGGCTTTGTGAAACACCCGCAAGGTGTCACCTGCAGGGACTGCGAGGACAGGGCACAATTAGTAGTTCTCCGGCCTGGATTTGGGGAGATGTCTCCCCTAAATCCATCCAGGTGACAGCAAGGGAGGCACTGACCGCATCTGATCCCTGGAGCTGCAGAGTTGTGGGAAGGGGGAAGCCTTTGGGGTGGAAAACCTGAAGTTTTGTGTCTCCAAGGAGCTCTTGCCCTCGTCCCGACGCACAAGGCTAGAGCTGGGCTGTCCCTCAGCTCCTTGCAGCTGCGAGGCCGTGTCCACACGTGGGTTCTTCTCACCCACTAGCAGGGGAACGGAGTCGTGGAATCATCACGGATGGAAAAGACCCTCCAGTGACAGGACAATAGGGACAGGTTGAAGCCCAGGCAGCTCCACGTGGCCGTGAGGAAGAGCTTGTTTGGTGGGAGGGTGCCCGAGCCCTGGCCCAGGCTGCCCAGGGAGGCTGCGGAGGCTCCTGCTCTGCAGATCCCAGGAGATCTCTGGAGCTCTCCCAAGCTCCAGACGTGCCGGGTATTCGTCAATGCCTGTCCTCTGGTTTCGGACCTCCTGGAATGATTAACCAGAGCAAAGCTTGGAGGATTTTGTTGCACTTCAGCTGCTACCGTGATTTTTGGCTTGTCTCTAGCTGTGCTTGCCTGCGGCCCTGTCCCTGCTGTGTGCAGCGGGGCGTCCGGGATCTATTTTTAAAGCAGATTTGCCTTTTAGTCATGTGAAACTTTGCACCTTCCTGGTGCTGAATTCGACCCTGTTGTTTTGTGAGCAGCCGTCGTGTGCCAGGCCGCTCGCCGCTGCGGTTTTGGGGGCGTCTTCTTAAATATTAGGAAACTTGGTCAAATTTGTGTCTTGGAAACCAGCACTTTCTCCTCCTCCTCCTGAACCAAGCCAAGTTTCTCCAGCTAATGGTGTCTCACATTCATTTTACCAACCCCTGAAGGCAAAAAGCAGAAGTAGGAGCTGATGTTTCCCTTCCCTGACCACGAGCAGTCCCATGTTGAACATCACACGTGGAATACGGTTGTGGAATATGGTTGTGACTCTTGCTCTGTCTCCTCCCTTGGCCAGGGTGCTCAACTACTGCCGCGTTTTCACGGAGCTCTGCGAGACCTTCCTGGATAAGATCGTGTGCACGCCGGGCCAGGGCCTGGGCGACCTGCGCACGCTGGAGCTGCTGCTCATCTGCGCCGGCCACCCGCAGTACGAGGTGAGCGCGGCGCCTTCATTTCAGATTAAACATTTTAATTTAAAGACTTAGATTTCATTGGAAGATTTAAGATTAATCTCTCCCTTCCGTTCCCTGCGTTGTTGGTCGCACAAAGTGGTGACTGATGGGAGCAGTTTCCTGCTGCGGGTTCCTCTTTCTGCTCCCCGGTCGTGCCGGGGAGGGACGTGGTCCCCAAGGGGGTGGATGGGCCTAAAACCCCTCCAGGACCGTGAGCTCAGGGTTAAGCTGAGCATAGGGGCTGCTCCGGTGCAGCCACAGAGCTGGGCAGAGCCCCTCCAGGACCGTGAGCTCAGGGTTAAGCTGAGCATAGGGGCTGCTCCGGTGCAGCCACAGAGCTGGGCAGATGAGTGCGTGGTTCAGGTCAGGGTTAGGGGTAACCATTTGACCAATTTCACGTGAAATGAGGTGATTTTGACTTGGCATCTGAAGCAAAGGCCTCTCCATAGGCTCCAGTGCGGCTTTGGCTTTGCTCTTGGGGCTGGTGACAGCTTTCCAAGCTGATGCTTTGAACTGAAAACCCCTCCGTTAAGTGACGAGGGGCAGGGGACACGGGGGGGACACCCGCAGAGCTCTGGGGGTGACAGCACCCTGTTTCTCCCTCCAACCAGGTGGTGGAAATTTCCTTCAACTTCTGGTACCGCCTCGGGGAGCACCTGTACAAGACGGACGACGCCGTCATCCACAGCATCTTCAAGGCCTACATCCAGCGGCTGCTGCACGCGCTGGCCCGCCACTGCCAGCTCGACGCCGACCACGTACGGCCGCGCCGCCTTCCTCCCCTCGCCCGCGCCCCTCCTCCTCCTCTCTGCAGCCGCAGGGCTCCACCGGGGGCACTTGCGCAGCAGCAGGGGCTGCGGAGAGGCAGCTGAGGGCAATTAAGATCAAAGCTCTCTTTGTTAAGGCAGTTCCAGCAGCTCCCTGGGGTTTGGGGAGCTGCTGGGTCCCCTGCTCGGCAGCATTTTTGTGGGGATAGAGCTGGCACCGCTTGCAGCCGCAGCGTTGTCACCTCCTGCTTGGTGGCTGCCACGCTTGGGATGCTCCTTCCATCTCCGCTGTGTTCTTCATCCCCTCGCTTGCCATCCCTTCATCCGGGAGCCTGGCACAGCGGGAACGCGCAGCGTGTGCCCGTGTTGTTGGCACCCCTTGCTGGCCTTCACGTCCCCTTCAACAGCCTGAGCTGGGCAGGATGGGTCTCCGGTGGTCGCTTCTCGTGTCCTGGCCGGGGGGAAATGGGAGCCTGGGGTCTCTGCGCCGCCGTTTGCAGCTTTCCCCGTGTCTGTTCCAGGAGGGCGTCCCGGAGGAGACCGACGACTTCGGGGAGTTCCGCATGCGCGTCTCCGACCTGGTCAAAGACCTCATCTTCCTGGTGGGATCGGTGGAGTGTTTCGCTCAGGTGGGTTCGCGGGAGCGTCGCGCTGGTGCGGAGGCTGCCCGCGGTGCCCACGGCCCTGGCACGTGTCCCGTGCCGAAACCACGGAGCTCCTTGTGGAAGGGGAGAGCTCCAACGAGGCCGGGCCTGAGCTGGGCCCTCTCAGGGGAGGTGGATGAGCAGGTGGCCCTGGTTTGGGGTGGAATTACCCGGTTTGCAGCTTCTCAGCGAGCAGTTCTCCTCCTCGCAGCTTTACGCGACTCTGAAGGACGGGAACCCGCCGTGGGAGGTGACGGAAGCCGTGCTCTTCATCATGGCCTCCATAGCCAAGAGCGTGGACCAGTGAGTAGCGGCCGCGCGGGGAGCTGCTGCCCTTCGCTTGGCCCGGCACACGGAATGTGCCCGGGATTCCCGCGGGCACCCGCTGTGCTGGGCAGCAAGCGGGATTCCCGCGTGAGAAGGGGAGGTTCTGGTGCCAACCGGGTGTGAGAGGGCAGGCGGATCCGCTCGGCGAGCAGAGTGGGGATTTGCTCCACGGAGCGGGATGTGCTCCATGGAGCGGGATTTGCTCCGTGACTCCCGGCAAGAGCTGCCTCCCATGCTGGGACCAGGCTCCTCCACTTGCTGGAGGACTCACTAGCCGGGATACGGGTTAGCCAGGATTGCCCGTGTGGTTTCTGCACCACCGACTGCTCCCGGAGGCGCTGGGATCGCTCGGCTCCGGAACGCCGACGGGCTGCGGCCGGCTCCGCGCCAGCCGCCGCAACTCCGCATCCCAAGGGCTATTCCCTGGGGAAGAGGGTGTCACGCGGCTGCGCTTGGCCCGCAGGGAGAACAACCCGACGCTGGTGGAGGTGCTGGAAGGAGTGGTGCGGCTGCCCGAGACGGTGCACACGGCCGTGCGCTACACCAGCATCGAGCTGGTGGGCGAGATGAGCGAGGTGGTGGACAGGAACCCCCAGTTCCTAGGTGAGCCGCGGCGGGAGCGTCACCGGGACACCCCGCTGGGACCCCCAGGACCTCACCGCCGCCTCCCCATGCAGACCCCGTGCTGGGCTACCTGATGAAGGGGCTGTGCGACCGGCGGCTCGCCTCGGCCGCCGCCAAGGCCATCCACAACATCTGCTCCGTGTGCCGCGACCACATGGCGCAGCACTTCCACGGGCTGCTCGACATCGCCCGCTCCCTCGACTCCTTCACGCTCTCGCCCGAGGCCGCCGTGGGGCTCCTCAAAGGTGCCTGGGAGGGAGGCCGGGGCGCTCGGGAGCTTCGCAGGCCGCTCCGGCGCCCGTTGGGATGCTCCGGGTTTTGGGAACCTTCGCAGGACGCGTGGCCCGAGGGGCGTCGCGTTGGTGGTGCCCCCTCAGCCGCGTTGGCTGCGCCACGGGCAGGGTAAAGGGCCGGGGTTTGCGGTTGGGCAGAGGCCCTGGTCCAAGGAGGCCGCTTCCCAGCAAGGCCCTGGTCCAAGGACTGTCCTTGGGCAGCTCCGGGCGCCCGGGAACAGCGGCCGGGACGTTCTGCTCCTCATCCGGAGGAACCGGAGCGGCCTGCATGCCCAGCCCTGCCCGTGCCCTCGGCCTCCCGAGTCACCAGTTCAGCCTGTGATTTAACTGCACAGGCAGGGCCAGGCTGTGATATGGGGCGAGAAATGCGTTTTGGGGCAGTTTGGGGCGTTTTGGGGCAGTTTAGGGGCACGTTTGGGGTGTTTAGGGGCACGTTTGGGGCGTTTAGGGGCACGTTTGGGGTGGTTTGCTGCATTTGGAGGCACATTTTGGGGTGTTTAGGGGCATTTGGAGGCACATTTTGGGGCGTTGGGAGCATTTGGAGGCACATTTTGGGGTGTTTTGGGTTATTTGGGGGCATTTTGGATGTTTTATCGGGGTGTTTTGGGGCGGGCCGTGCCCGTGCCGGCGCCCGGGGCCGCCCGTCACGCCGCTCGCGCTGCAGGGACGGCGCTGGTCCTCGCCCGGCTGCCGCTGGAGAAGATCGCCGAGTGTCTCAGCGAGCTCTGCGCCGTCCAGGTCCTGGCGCTGAAGAAGGTGGGTGCCCGGCCGCTGCAACGGGGTGACAGGGGCCGCTTCCCATCCCATCCCATTCCCTGTGGCTGGAGTTGCTCCATGGTTTTGTGCCATGGAGGAGGACGTCCCGGTGGTTCGGGGCTCTCTGGGGTCCTATCCCGCTGCGGGGTGGCGGGAGGCTGGATCTGGGGGAAGGCAGCGGCACATCCCGCCCTTCCCGCATCCCGGGAACCTGTCGCGCAGCTGCTGTCGCAGGAGCCGAGCAACGGGCTCTCCGCGGACCCCACGGTGCCCCTCGACCGCCTCGCCGTCATCTTCAGGTGAGGAGGCCGGGACGGAGGCCACAGGGCTGCCCCCCGGGATGGGCAGGAGGGGCTTGAGCCCCCCCCAAAATGACCGTGGAGGAGCCCCACGCGCTTAACGGGGCCTCTCCGCAGACACACGAACCCCATCGTGGAGAACGGGCAGATCCACCCGTGCCAAAAAGTGATCCAGGAGGTGAGTGGGCGGCGATGGGGCCGGTGTCCCCGGTGTCCCCGGCGCGGGGCTCAGCGCCGCCGCCGTCCCCCCGCCGTGCAGATCTGGCCCGTGCTCTCGGAGACGCTCAACAAGCACAGCGCCGACAACCGCATCGTGGAGCGCTGCTGCCGCTGCCTGCGCTTCGCCGTGCGCTGCGTGGGCAAGGGCTCGGCCGCGCTGCTGCAGCCGCTCGTCACGCAGGTGACGCCGCGCGGGACGGGGCCCGCGCCACCCGCGGTGGGAGGGTGGCAGGGGGTGGTGGCCGGGGGTGGCAGTGGCAAGGGGTGGCAATGGCAAGGGGTGGCAATGGGAGAGGGTGGAAGTGTCAGGAGGTGGCAGTGGCAGAGGGTGGTGGTGGCCGGGGGTGGCAATGGCAGAGGGTGGCAATGGCACAGCATGACAACGGCAGGAGGTGGCAATAGTAGGGGATGATGGTGGCCAAGGGTGGCAGGAGGTGGCAATGGGAGAGGTTAGTGGTGGCCAAGGGTGGCAATGGCAGAGGGTGGTGGTGGCACCAGGTGGCACAGGGTGGCAATGGCAGGGGGAGGTGGTGGCAATGACAAGGGGTGGCAATGGTAGGGGGTGGTGGTGGCACTGGGTGACAATGGCAAGGGGTGGCAATAGGAGAAGGTGGTGGTGGCACTGGGTGACAATGGAAGGAGGTGGCAATGGTAGGGGGAGGTGGTGGCCACAGGGTGGCAATGGCAAGGGGTGGCAATGGTAGGGGGTGGTGGTGGCACTGGGTGACAATGGCAAGGGGTGGCAATAGGAGAGGGTGGTGGTGGCACTGGGTGACAATGGAAGGAGGTGGCAATGGTAGGGGGTGGTGGTGGCACGGGATGGCAATGGCAAGGGGTAGCAATGGGAGAGGGTGGTGGTGGCACTGGGTGGCATAGGGTGGCAGTGGCAGGGGGTGACGATGGCAAAGGGTGGTGGTGGCACAGGGTGGCAATGGGAGAGGGTGGAGGTGGCCGAGGGTGGCAGTGGCAGGAAATGGCACTGGTAGGGGGTGGCAGTGACAGAGGGTGGCAATGGGAGAGGGTGGAGGTGGCCGAGGGTGACAATGGCACGGGGTGGTAGTGATGGGGTGCCGGTGGTCGGGTGCTGGTGACGGAGGGTGGCGGTGGCAGAGGCTGATGGCAGGGGGTGACGGGGTGGTGACAGTGGCAATAGCAGGAGGCAGCAGTGGCAGGGGGTGATGGTGACAGGGTGGCAGTGACAGGGTGATGGTGACAGAAGGTGGCAATGGCAGAAGGTGGCAATGACAGGGGGTGGCCTGCGCCCGCAGATGGTGAGCGTGTACCGGGCGCACCAGCACTCCTGCTTCCTCTACCTGGGCAGCATCCTGGTGGACGAGTACGGCATGGAGGGCGGCTGCCGGCAGGGCCTGCTCGACATGCTGCAGGTGGCCACGGGGACACGGGTGGGGACGCGGGGACGGGGCGCACGGGGATGGGGTGCATGGAGACACCTCCTCACGGGCGACACTGCCCGGGCGGCCTCCGTGGGCCCGTGTCCCAGCTGTGCCAGGGGCACGAGTGACACGTGGCCTCCGTCTCCCACGGCCTCCTCTCCCACGTGGCCTCCTCCCCTACGCAGCCTCTGCCCCGTGCGGCCTCCTCTCCCCCGTGCGGCCTCCTTTCCCTGCACAGCCCCCTCTTCCCTGCGCCTCCTCCGGTGCGCCGTGCCGGCGCCGCGGGAGGCTCACGGGCGCCGTGTCGCTCGCAGGCTCTCTGCATCCCCACCTTCCAGCTGCTGGAGCAGCCCAGCGGCCTCCAGAACCACCCCGACACCGTCGACGACCTCTTCCGCCTGGCGACCAGGTGCGGGGCGGCCGCGGGGGCGGTGGCGTCGCGGGTCCCTCGCGCCCCGGGCGCCGCCGCAGCAGCGTGTCCCGCGCCCCGTGCAGGTTCATCCAGCGCAGCCCCGTGACGCTGCTGCGCAGCCAGGTGATGATCCCCATCCTGCAATGGGCCATCGCGGCCACCACGCTCGACCACCGCGACGCCAACTGCAGCGTCATGAAGTTCCTGCGCGACCTCATCCACACCGGCGTGGCCAACGACGTGAGTGGAGGCCACGGGCCTCCCCAGCCTTTATCCAACGGGAGGATGGAGGGAGGAAGGGCCGAGCTCTTGTGGGTGGTGGCCAGTGGCAGGCCAAGGGGCCCTGGGGCCAAGCTGCAGCGCAGGCAGCTCCACGTGGCCGTGAGGAAGAGCTTGTTTGGTGGGAGGGTGCCCAAGCCCTGGCCCAGGCTGCCTAGGGAGGCTGCGGAGGCTCCTGCTCTGCAGATCTGGCACCGCGCCGGGATGCGCCCGGGTGCCCCGTGCTCTGGGTGTCCCTGCTGGAGCAGGGGCTGCACTGGGGGTCCCTTCCAGCCTCAACCGTCCTGGCGTTCCCACCTTAACCACCCTGGGATTCTGGGGTTCCCATCCCGTGCACGAGGAGCCCAGGGCCTCCCAGCTGCTCCCGCTTGGAGCCGGGAGGCACCGCTGAGGCCGTGGCCGCCCCGCAGCACGAGGAGGACTTCGAGGTGCGCAAGGAGCTCATCGGGCAGGTGATGAACCAGCTGGGGCAGCAGCTCGTGAGCCAGCTGCTGCACACGTGCTGCTTCTGCCTGCCGCCCTACACGCTGCCCGACGTGGCCGAGGTGCTCTGGGAGATCATGCAGATCGACCGGCCGGTGAGCGGCGCGCGGGGACCTGGAACCATCCCTGGGCGCGGAGCTCTGTGCACGGAGCCCTACGAGGAGCGCTGTGCATGCAGCCCTGCATGCGGGGCCCTGCATGCGGATCCCTATGTATGGAGCCCTGCCCGTGGAGCCCTGTGCTGTGCATGGATCCCTGTGCATGGATCCCTGCACAAATCCCTGTGAATGGGGCCCTGCATGCGCATCCCTGCGTATGGAGCCCTGGGGCCCTGCATGCGGGTCTGTGCATGCGGATCTTGGTGCACGGAGCCCTGTGCGTGGGGCCCTGCATTTGGATCCCTGTGCACAGATCCCTGCACGCGAATCCCTGTATCCCTGCACGCGGATCCCTGTGCATGGAGCCCTGTATCCCTGCACGTGGATCCCTGCATGCGGATCCCTATATCCCTGCGCGCGGATCCCTGTGCATGGAGCCCTGTATCCCTGCACGTGGATCCCTGCATGCGGATCCCTGTATCCCTGCACGCGGATCCCTGCACACAGATCCCTGTATCCCTGCACGTGCATCCCTGTGCATGGAGCCCTGTGTCCCTGCACATGGATCCCTGTGCATGTAGCCCCGTATCCCTGCATTTGGATCCCTGTGCACAGATCCCTGTGCATGGAGCCCTGTATCCCTGCACACGGATCCCTGTATCCCTGCATGCGGATCCCTGTATCCCTGCGCATGGATCCCTGTGCATGGAGCCCTGTATCCCTGCACACGGATCCCTGTATCCCTGCACGCAGATCCCTGCACACGGATCCCTGTATCCCTGCACGCAGATCCCTGCGCGCGGATCTCTGTATCCCTGCACGCAGATCCCTGCGCGCGGATCCCTGTATCCCTGCGCGCAGATCCCTGTGCATGGAGCCCTGTATCCCTGCACGCGGATCCCTGCACGCGGATCCCTGTATCCCTGCACGTGGATCCCTGCACGTGGATTCCTGCACGCGGATCCCTGTGCATGGAGCCCTGTATCCCTGCACGTGGATTCCTGCATGCGGATCCCCGTATCCCTGCGCGCGGATCCCTGTATCCCTGCACACGGATCCCTGTATCCCTGCACGCGGATCCCTGCATGCGGATCCCCGTATCCCTGCGCGCGGATCCCCGTATCCCTGCGCGGATCCGGGCGCCGCGCTCAGCCCCCCGCTCCCCGCAGACCTTCTGCCGCTGGCTGGAGAACTCGCTCAAGGGGCTGCCCAAGGAGACCACGGGCGGCGCCATCCAGGTGACGCACAAGCAGCTCACGGACTTCCACAAGCAGGTCACGAGGTGAGGAGCGGGGGGCACGGGGGACACGGGGGGACACGGGGGACACGGGGGACACGGGGGGCACGGGGGGACACGGGGGGACACGGGGGGACACGGGGGGCACCCCGGCCCCGCTAACGCTGCCGCTGTGCCCTGCAGCGCCGAGGAGTGCAAGCAGGTGTGCTGGGCGCTGCGCGACTTCACCCGCCTCTTCCGATAGTGGGGCGCCAGGTAAGAGCCCGCGCGGCGCCGCCGGCCCGGCCCCCGACAGCGGCGCCCACGAAAAGACGAAAAACACACCCAAAAAAAGGAAGGAACCGACGGAAGAACCGACTTTGCCTGGCAGCAAAACACGAGTGCAAACAAAGTAGAAAACTTTCTGTGAAATGAAAACAAATAAAAATTACTTAAGGAAAGGGCGGGGTGGAGAGGCGGCCGGCGCCCAGGGCCCTCGTGGCGCAGGCGGCACGGACTCCGTGAAGGATAGCGAGGGTTGGTTTAGTTTTAGGAGTTTTGGGTTTGGTTTTTTTTTACTTTTTTTATTGGGTTGTGTTGGGCTTGGAAAGCACTGGGAGGTGGAGGCTGCAGCGGGATGTGGAGGCTGCAGCGGGAGCAGGGATTGCAGCAGGAGGCCGGGATGCGGAGGCTGCAGTGGGATGCGGAGGCTGCAGCGGGAGCAGGGACTGCAGCAGGAGGCTGGGATGCGGAGGCTGCAGCGGGATGCGGAGGCTGCAGTGGGATATGGAGGCTGCAGTGGGATGCGGAGGCTGCAGCGGGAGCGGGGGCCGGCTCAGCGGAGGCTGCGGCCACCTTGGGGACGAGAAACCCCCAAAGGGCACCGCGGAGCCAAACTGCGTCCCGCGTGTCCCGCGGCCTGGAAGCGGCACCGGGAGCTCCCGGCATTCGCGGCGCGAGCGGCTGCCGGGCGGGAGCCAAGCGGAGGCTCCCGGCGCGCCCGTCACCCCTGGGAGAAGCCCCACGGCGCGGGGGGCGGCGGCGGGCCCCACTCCTGCCCCACGGCGCCGGGCGGCGGCGGGCGCTGCTGGCCCTGCCACAGCGCGTGCAGCTCCTTGAACTGCTCGAGCAGCCGGTCCTCGAGGTCGGGCGGCGAGATGTGCAGCGGCACGCTGTCCGCCGACCACGAGAGCTCGCCGGAGAAGAGCTCGAGCAGCAGCCGCGCCGCCACCGGCACCACCTGCGTCACCCGCTGCGTCACGAGGGCCGCCGCGGCGCCGTCCCCGTCGCTCTGCCCCCGTCCCGTCACCTGCACCGTGATCAGCTTCTTCTCCTTGGGCTTGTGGTCGGGCCACTCCTCGCCGAAGCAGAGCAGGATCTCGAAGGGCGGCGGCGTCGCCGTCTGCCCCTTCTGGAAGCGGATGAGGCCTGCGGGGAGCGAGGCGGCGGTGAGGGGCGCGCGGGGCCGCCCCGCGCCCGCCCCGCGCCCCCCGCGCACCGTTGAGGAAGCCTTGGAGGCTGAAGAGCTTGGTGGAGGTGTCGCGCGGCAGCGGGTTGGGCCCGGGGCGCGCGGCGGCGCAGGGCCCCGTCCAGAACACCTTGCACTGGCAGAGGCGCACGGCGGCCAGGTCCTGGCCGCGCAGCTCGAGCAGCAGCCCGCGGCCCAGCGCGCCCAGCAGGCGCTGCGTGTAGCGGCGCTGGCGCTCGCCGCGCGCCGCCTCGGC